GCATACATACATGCATACATACTTACATACATACATACATACATACATACATACATACATACATACATACATACATACATGCATACATACATATATACATACATACATACATACATAAATATATACATACATACATGTGTATATACACACATACGTGTATATATATATATATATATATATAATAAAAGGTCATCGCATACCTCCATAATTGCGTCGAACCTCACGAACCCCGCTTGCAAATCGGCACTCACGCCTTGGCCAGCCAAATACTTAAACTTTTGGGTTTCCGCAGTGGGTGAGGGGGTAGGAGCCGTTTCCAAAACAATTGGAGTGGTCTGATTCTGCAGATCCAATTTGGGTATTTCTGGGTACGGTTGCTGCGGGGTTTTCTGAGTGTGGCGTTGGTTCTCTATTTGCGGATCGTCCTGTGTTTGCAGCGCTTGATCCGACACCGTTGTCCGTAGCACCTGACGGAATAGTCAGCAAGCAGGAGATGTGTGTCATTGGTACAGGTATACCGGCTAGAACGCATATACAATGTACTGTAGTAAACACATACACATCCCGAAGCAGGAGATGTGTGTGATTGATATGAACGCACCTGCCGGAATGTATAGACTGTGGATTTTAGTAAACACATAGTACAACCCCAAACGAGACCTATACGCATAACCGCTACACTGAACTACCCGTTATCATCGCCCAACAGGAGAGTGCCCAGGGCAAAGACCTAGGCACTGCCGCAACATCCGCTAACCATGTACAGACAACTTATGAACAAGAAGTTTATAGTTCCCAGATTATGTATCAAACATACACTATCCACAACACACACCAATCACATACTAATTATAACATACTCCAATCATAAACTAACTATAACACACACCAATCAACTACTATATACAACACGTGCCAATCATATACTAATTACAACACACACGCCAATCATATACTAACTATAACCCACACCAATTATCTACTATTTACAACACTTACCAATCACATACTAATTATAACACACACCAATCACATACTAACTATAACACACATCAATCATCTACTATCTACAACACACACCAATCACATACTAATTATAACATACACCAATCATATACTAACTATCGAACACACCAATCATATACTAACTATAACACACCAATCACATACTAACTACAACACACACGCAATACTACGCGACTCATAAGGTCTGAAACGTCTCCGCAAATCACCATCCTATGATGATAGACACGCACTACTTGTTCACTAAGCTCAAAGCCCGCAACATCCGTAACTTAAAAGTTTATTTGGCCTTTCTCGGCCTCCATCCAAAACCCTGTACCCTATACCCAAAACCCTAAACTAAGACCTGTGACATCCGTAACTTACGGTTTATGTGGGCCTTTCTCGGTCTCAACCCTCAACCCTATACCTTATACGCTAAACCTATACCCTATACCGTAAACCTTGTACCCTGTACCCTATACCTATACCCTATATCTATACCTTAAACCATATACCCTTAACCCTATACTCTATACCTTATACCCTATACCCTATACCCAATATCCTATACCCTATACCGTAAACCTTATACCCTATAACCTATACCTATACTATATACCATATACCCTAAACCATATAACCCAAACCCTGAACCCTAAACCCTGAACCCTATACCCTAAACCTTATACCCTATACCGTAAACCCCATACCCTAAACCCTAAACCTTAAACCCTATACCCTACTCCCTACATTTTAAACACTAAACCGTATACCCTAAACCCCATACCCTACACCCAAAACCATATACCCTAAACCTTATACCCTATACCCTAAACCTAAACCATATACCCTAAACCCTATACCGTATACCCTGTACCCTATACTCTAACCCGAAACCCTAAACCTTCTACCCTAAACTCTATAACCCCTATACCCTATACCGAACCCCTATACCCTATACCGAACCCCTATACCCTATACCGAACCCCTATACCCTATACCGAACCCCTATACCCTATACCGAACCCCTCAACTAAAACCTGGGACATCCGTGACTTACGGGTTGTGTGGGCTTTTCTCGATCACCGATTGTCCCTATTGCGTTGTGCAGGGTGGCGGCTTCTGGTGTTGTGGCATCGCTGGTCAAAGGCTCCTGCGGTACGACAGGTGGGTGCGTGTATACGAATGAGAGGTGTTTGTGTGTACATGTGATAGTCGAGATTACAGTTGATAAGGGTGTGTGCGGACATATAGTAGTGGAGAATACACTTGGTAGATGATTGTGTGCAATGGTTCCAAGCGGTCACCTTGGTTAGAATGAGTAATGAAACCTATTTGGCGATGGTAACCCAGAAAACCCTGCTGATACAGCCAT